TTTCCTCAGGCATATTATTCTGTGACGGATTTCAGAATCTCAGGGGGTCTTCCCAGTTTGTTTTGAAGATGAAGGATACTGGCTATGAGATGGCAAAGGGATGGGAATTTTAAACTGATTTCTTACTGAGGAAGTCAGAATTGCAGCGATGTGAATAGCTGGGTTCATACAGCTCACTGTATTATAGTTATTTTGCAGGTTGTGCAAAGTATTGTGATTTGCAGAGCTTGTTTACGTCTTAGGGTGCTCTGTGACCCCAGTTAGTTTATTCAGTAAATCCTAAGTTATCTGGTCACTGTATTCTTAAATGCTATGGTTATTATATATAAGCACTGGAAAGAATGAGCTTCATGGCCCAATGATTGACTGAATAAAACAAAGTTGTTTGGATTATTAACATGCTAAGCTATAGGCAGGCATGCCATAGTCCCCAAGGTAAATGCTTTGATAAGTTTAATGCATCTGTTTCAATCTATACCAATGAGACACATCAGTGCTTCTGGTAACAATACTGAAATGCTGCTGAACATTTTCGTTTATCCTCGTGATGTCACTAGCACAACCTTGAGGCCTTCAGAGGCTGGTTTCTTTTTTTATTATAAAAAATAAAACCCACACTGATAAAAAATATTGCTACATTTATGCTAAGCAATAAATCATGGATTGCAAAACATTAAAGATTCTTTTCAATCAACTTGCTAAGTCAAATCCTAAATTATAACCTGATACAAAGTGTGAACCCACTCATTAAGAAACAGCATTTTTTAGCTCTTTATTTAATACCATGTTAGTTCTTTTAAAATTCTTAAAAGTCTCAAATGATGCAATGTACATCTGTGGCTTCTCAAATTTGCAAATTTTATCTGTAGAAGAGTACATGCTTTTTGAATTCCTATTGTTATATACATTTCCACTGGCTTCTAAGGATGCCAAATGTATAATGATTTGATCATGAAATAGCTATTCATTTCTCAGTTACATCTGCATGCATTTAAGGCACATATGCCAAATATTTTTGGAAGTGACAGAGAAAGATCGCAATACTTAGGCCACACGAAACTACTTACCCCTATTAGGTTGTATAGGAGGCACAGCCAGCCCTTTAACTTACAAGCCAGCCTTATGTGCTCAGTCACTAAACCTGAGGGCCGATAAAAGAAAAGAAGGGGGATCTGTCAGGTTGTAGAAAAGCGACTTGAGAGAAAGTTGGCTGGAATCCTGGATGAGAGTTTATGACAAGTATGTAAGCTATAGTTAGATTTCTCTGTGTGTATATGTATTTGGGGTATATTTTATCTTCTTTGCCTGTATGTGATGTGTAGACTCCTATGTTCTTTTGATACCTTTAATAAAATTGATTTTTGTTTAAATCCTGGAACTGACTGGTGACCTTCTCTTACTTACCTTAGCTTGCCCAAGCTACAAATTTTTTGTTTCCCTTTCGGTATTTAGTCAGACCCCTGGTGTGTGAGGATTTCCTCCCTCCCCTTCAATCCTCTCCTGGTTTCCAGACGGCTGGGATGGAAGGAGAGAACTGGTTTATATTGAAGGGATGTGATAACAAGGACACCTAATTTTCTCTGCACTTTTGTCTGCAGACATGACTGCCTTAGAAATTAAGGATCTCAGAATTTGAGATCTTCTTGTATGCCCAAATGCTAACAATCATTAAAATCAAGTTTTCTATTTTACTATAAATGTAAATTACACAATCAACCAACCATGTTTTAGCCAAGTATGTACTGCAAGCATCGCTTCTATGATCAGTTTATAGTTTGGTGTATCATAACAGTAGCAATGGGGCAATGTATATGAAAAAGGTGTCAATAGCTTGGCTATTATGATAAGCACCATGTTTTGAAAGTTCGCCAGCAAAAGTAGATAATTGCAAACTCCTAAGAGCCGTTCAGACTATTAAGATTTTATCAATCTTATAAATTAGTAAATGACAACTGCAGTAACAATAGTTTGAAAGTTTATTGTTGTGAATATTACTAAACCTGAAAAAGACCAACCATATCATTAACCAGAGTGAGGAACATGTACTCCTACAGATGTAGCTGATTGATAATTTCCAGTAACCCCTACCAGCATGCCCAGTGGTGACAGATGCTAAGAGCTACAATTCAGCAGCATCAAAAAGGGCAAAAGTTCTCCATCTCATTGTAAAAAACACTAATTTATTTTTAATTCCTAGAGTATTCCTTAATTGGGCAGGTTACACATCTTTCCTATGGGAATATTGCTAGCAAACACATCATATGTAGGAGGCAGTCTTTTAAAGATACATATATTCCCATTGGCCTGGATCATGTATAAACTGAAGACCAATTTCACTGATTTTTATCACTGGTTTAGTGAATCTAGCCAATTATAGTATATTCTATAAACCAAATTCAAACAGCTACAGCATAGCATAATTCTGCAAACCTTGGTAAAATTCCCGGCTAAGTACAACATGTGAACCGGGCCTTTGTGTTTAATGACATTAGTCTAGAAACAAGTTCTTGGTAAACCACTACAATACACTATAATGTTATACAACTGCAACTGTAAATGAGGAATATGTAACTTTCCTGGGCTACGAAGTGATAAACTGGGAGCCATACACCAAAAATGTACAATTTGATTTGATGACATATTTAAATAAAGTGAATATAATTATACTTCAGCTATGTATTTAATAAATAATCCTTCCTTTGCACTAGAATTCTATGTATGTAATAAATTTTGGAGATCTTAAAGAATCTACAAGGATTTAGAGAGGCGGTATAGTTTCCATAACTGAGATTGACTGCAGCAGAGATGCACTATCTTTCTCTAGATAAATTAATCAGATCCAGTATGACTTCCCCCTTCTGTAAGTTCCTCAATGAATTAATGTTGCATAGCATTTGTTATTCCATTCTACTGGTTATTTCAGCTATCTACCATCTGTTCATTTTGTAATAGCATATTAGAATAATGGTTTCCTCTGTACACTAATATTAAAATGGATATTTGGGGAAAAGGGAAGGAAGATTTGCTCCTTTTGCTTTATGATCAGCATGCTAAACCACAGGAAGATAAAAAAGAACACAATACAAATGAAAAACTAAGCAAATATTTCAGCAAGTATAGGAAGGGTAGCAAAACTGCATCCGTCCAACTCCATTAAAGCTGAAATGAATTGAAGTAGTATCTCTGAAAGTGTAGTCCAAGGATGCCAAGCCGCCCCCCAAAGACACTCTTAGGGGTTTACAAAATCAAAATGAAGATCTTTGCAAAAAAATTTAAAATGGCATCTTTCTCTTTGTTACAAAATAGTATAGTTTCCAGACAAAATATTATTTAATATTTAATGGCTTAATATTTATGATCATTATAATTTATATCAGTATAATGACCATTTAGTAAGTATTCTATTAATGTGTCTACATTAATTTTTGGTATGCTAAATATTGATAAATATAATCCATATACTCTTTTGTGGACCTTCATAGTTGTTAAAAGTGAGAAGGGGTGCAAAAGCAAAATGGTTTTTTTTAAATACAGCATTAAAGAGTGAATTTAACAAACAAATCAATTAACAGGTATAATTTTAGATTAAAGATGAGATTAATTACTGGCCTGATGATTTTTCAGACAAATAGAGAAGTCACTTCAGAACATAACATTTAAATACACATTTGAAACCCCAGGAATGCATAGGCTAGGTTCATGTTAAGTTAAACCACAGTTTAACCAAGTTTGAATAAACTACAGGAAATTATTAAAACAGTAAACCATGAACCATGTGTAAAATGATTCACAGTTGGACTCATGCTTGGCCTTTATAGTGTTTTTTTTATTATTATTATTAACATGGTTATTTTTCACTCACGTAACATTTCCTCTTTCTGTCACACTGAAAATTGCAACTTTGAAAATGTTTTGAAGTGCTTGGGAGCTCATATTCAGAGTTTTAAACCACTGCTTCAGTTCTGGGGCTTTCACTACAAACTATGAATCGTGAACCTGAGTGGCAAGCGTCATAACATCAAGCCAAAACCAGAGGTAATGTGGCTTAGCATCATGGATGAGATAGGCCACACACCACAAACTGAACACTTTGTATATTTGCTTATCTTTTATTCCGATGTTAGGGATAGAATCCAGACAACCAGTAAACAGATTAAAAGCATGTCTCCTGTAGATTTGTCCGGATTTCTGTAGTCCCAATAGTCACCTCTAAAATGCTTAACGAGATTTGATTTATGAATGACATATGTATGGGAATGCATACAAACAAATTCCATAATTATACACTGCCACAACCAAGCAGGCTTTCGCAATCACTGGTGAATTGTCCCTGCACCGTTAAATCTTCGCCTATTATATACTTTCCAGGCAGTTTTTTGACTCCTGGCGAAGAGTCCCTGCAGTTTTCTTGCCAAGGTGTTTCAAAAGAGGTTTGTCATTGTCCTCTTCGTAGGGCAGAGAGAGAAGCTGGCCCTTATACTGGGATAGCAAAACCTAAAACCCGTTGCCCTGCTGAGGTTTTCGGACGCCTCACGTTGCACAAAGACGGACGGGGTTACCCAAACGCCTATGGTGCAAGACCTCCAAACCTCCAGCACGTCCGTCAGCAATACCTGCGCGAAAAAAGCCTCCCCTTTTCTGAACCGAACCGAGCGACTAAGTGAAACCTTTCCCCACTTCCCAGCTGGATGAGGGGAAAAAAAAAAAACTGGTGTCACAAGGACGACGGCAGCGGGGAGGTGGGGGAGAGGGGGGGAGTAAACAGGTAGGAAGGAGGAAGTTAACAGAGTTGAAACCGGGAGGCGTTTTCGAGGGCAAGTTTGGTCGAAGGTGGGGGAGGGGCTACCTCACCCGCGGCGGAGGTGAATGCGGGGAGATGGGGAAGGGGGGGGGCGGCGACCAGACCACCGAGAACTTCTCCCGCAGAAGATCGATCTCTCTTCCCCCACCCCCACCCCAGTTCCCCCTCCCCAAATGACCTCAACCTCCACACGCCTTACCTTGCCGAGGCACAGCAGAACCAGGAAAAAAACCTGCGCCTGTCCCCTCATGGTGCCTGGTGGCGGTGGCGGCGGCGGCAGCTCGGGAATGCGCGCTCACTCAGCGCCGCTCTATGTAGTCATGGCAGAAAGTCTCCTAACCCGCCCGCCAAAAAGAAAGAAAGAAAGAAAGAAAGACAGCCCCGGAGGAGGGAAGCGGAGGAACCGCGCTGCTCACGCCTCGCTCCCTTCTCCGAGGAGCCCTCCGCAGCCTTTTCTTTTCCACCCCCGCGGCCGCTGGGAAGAAGTCAGGGACGAGACGCGAACTAACAGGCAGAAACCCCGGCACGGCAACCGCCTGGGGAGGGCAAAGAGTCAGCCACCGCCCCTTTCTGACCATTCATCGCTTCCTCCACGCTGCCGTTTCCAGAGGACAGAAATTCAGCTCCACGTTGGCGGCAGTTAAAGGGTTGGTTTTCAGCGTTTGATGCTGGCAGCCGAGTAGGAAGTTGTTCGAGCCCGCCTTGCTTCCTTCCCTCCCTCCTTCTCTCCCGCGATCGGGGCTTAGGGTGCAAGCGGCTCCCTTGAAGCGTTTTGCCTCCCCTCCTCCTCTTCCTCTTCCTCGCAGAGAATATTTTCTGCGGTGGGGGAATTTCAAAATGCCGCTGGATGAGGGATCTTCCGGTTTCTTTGGAGAGCGGGAGTGCTTGTTGTACCCGGATTTGCAACTGGACGACTAGGATCTTGGGAAGCAAACTCTGGCGTTGAATTCACGCCTTGTGGTAAAGTGTACATTTTGCCTGCTTTAGGTTTAATGTGTGATTGATTCAGTAGGTTACCAAACGACCCATGACTCAGTGCTGTGCGTAAACTACCCAAAGGAAGGAGTTTGCAACAAAAACACGCATGAAACAGTTGCAGTGTATCATCTCCTGAGCATTTCATAAATGTCAAGTTTGCCTGGTCATGTGCAATTTTTTTGTGGCTCCATCCATACTAGTGTATATAGGAGTGGTTTGCTATGAAATATCTTGGAAGTGAGCATCCAGCTTTGCAGTGATTGCCATGTTTTTGTGTTCTGGGGCACAATGAGCCACAAACTGACCTCATGTCATGTGGCACAAGAACTGGGTTTGCCAAGCAGGTTGATTATTTGGGTAGCTTAGTGTTACATGCAAACATGCTGGTTGTGAGAAGACATGGGTAATATTAGGGGCTGACAACTCAAGCTTGACCCTAATCATGCTATGAAGAAATCTGCGGATCCCAGCAACAATCCACAAATCTTCCAGAATGATTCTATGTTGCTCACTTCATCTCTTTTGATTTCCTTAAGACAAATTTAATCATTTTTCCTAATCTGTTATCCATTTACCTCACACAGTGAGCTTTCAGCTGCTGATCACTGCTTCAGAGTGAGCAGTCAGCCTTTATTTCCTACTCCTTGTGGGGGCCATGATATTCTTAGCAACATCGCCAAATCCATAATTCAATTATGCTTATATTTTTCTTGTTCTTTCTCGATGTACAGCTTTTTACAGCCATATATTATCACTCTGTAAAGTCACCTGCTTTAACTCTCAAAATTTATTTCCATCAAGTATGCATAAGATTGCAGCCTTGTTGATTTGTAGCAACAGACAAGCTGTAACAGAAAATTGTAGTTGGAAAATCATCAGAAAAAGGCTCTGCTGAATACAAGAAGATTTTTCTTCTGCAGAAATATAACAGAAGGGTAGCAAAAAGGACCAGCAGCTTGTTTCAAAGCTTCTTTGCACCCTTTTTAATAGGCTGTGTAGATTTACCACCTTACAAGCCACCTTTAGATTTCACTTCTGCTTCTGTCATAAAAAAATAAATAAAGGGAAACAGGCGTGTGTCACCAGTCAAATGAGAAAACTGCAGTACAGCTACACTGTAATTAATTATTTTGCTTTCAATTTTGTACAAAAGGAATATAGAGAGCATGCTTTGATGTTTGACATTCTAGCAACCTGAACGCAGAATAAAAGTCGGGATCAAATGGCAGTCTACTTGCGCAGAACTAATTATCTGTAGTTCATTCCACCTGGGCATTGAATATGATCCAGTTCTTCTTGATCAAGATCTGGTTTCATAGTCAGAATTTTTAATTAGAAAATACCAATGTAATAAGACAAAACAAAGAAGCTGTTGTACCTTAACAAATTGATTTAGAGTTTCTTGAACCAGGAGCCATTTGTTTGATGCATCATTGGCAAAAGAAAGCTGACCTAGGATTCTTCTCCATGGTAGCTGACTCAGAAGTTCAAAGAAGTCCCGATTGCAATTTGAATTCCAATTCTGTTTTGACAGTAAAACAGAATTGGAGTTCTGTGTCACAGAGACCCTGGAGGAGAAGAGAAGTGGAGTGGGGAATTCCTCACTTGATACCAGTTATTGGCAGCAGAAGCCTTATGTGGTGTCAGAACTGGAGCCAGAGGAGCTGTTCTTTGCTGCTCTTCTCCCATTATCCATGGTAAAAGAAAAGGAGAGAGAAGGCCCAATCTCTCCTTTCCTGCTCCTTGCTAGGGGTAAGAGCTGAAGCTGGGGAAGCAGCATTCCTTGGAAAGGTGCTTTATCATCTTTAACCATGCGTAAGTGCAGCAGCACAGCTGCTTTTCCCAGCTTGAAATCTCCTCTCCATTATTCAGTCTTTTAAACGTGTCCCCTGCGGCTTTAACATCCCTCTAATAAAGCCGCTGACCATCCACAGCTTCAGCAAAGAGGGGAGGCAGTTCAAACACTTGTCCAGGGGCAGGCCTGCAGCTTCAGCACCCTAAAACGTTAAACTTCTGAAGATAGTTTGGGATGTATGAACAGTTCCCTGCTGTACTGCTGGTCCACATCAGAGAGGCACATATTTAACAGCTTACCACAAGGTCAGTGAACACATGCATAAAAAGCTCTCATGTCTTGTTCCTCTGTCTAACCCACAATGCAGGGGAAGGGCTTCTGCAGGTGGCAGAATAGCAGGCCTATGGGAGGGTCACAACTTTTGGTTATCAGAAGAACTAGCATCCAAAAGACCAGCTTTCTGTCCATTTTCCTCTCCTCCAAGGGGAAAAAAAAGCAACTTGGGGGGAAAACCCAGAAGAGCTGCTCCCTTGTTTCCAATTCTCTAATCTACTTGGAAAAGTGGCAGCAAATGATCTTCACCTTCCATGTCTGCTTTCCAGTGCTGGGGGGAATTCTGGTTAAAAAATACATAGATCTTTCCTTCCTCTCCCAGTTCTTCTTCCCTTTTTCATGGTGCGAGAGTCTTGAATTTCTGTTGCTTAAAAGCAAATGGCTGTGAAAATCAATGTCAGGACCAAAAAGGGAAATCATGTCAGGAGCCTTAGGGTAGTCAGTCAGAGAGCAAGACATCCATCCTTCTGTTTATCTCACAGTGGTTCTCTGCGCAGGGAGCATTTAGAATGATTTGCAGTGGCAGACATGGAAAAAGTTTATTTCTGAAGTGGAGCAAGGAACGACAGGTATAGGCTACAATTGCAGTGGACAAGGGACAGAAGGATGGTGATGTCGTGTGTTCATAGCCTCGAGGAATAATTGGTGTGGATCTTTATGTTGGGTAAAACTGGATGTGGCGATGAATCTCTAATATGGCTCCAAACCATGGAAAATGACTTGCCTGCTGATCTTTTTTTTCCCCCTTCCATTTAGTCATGTCCAATTCTTGGAGACTTCGAGGACAAATGCCTGCAGCTTTCTTGGCAATATTTTTGAGAAATCGTTTACAATCACCTCCTTCCTAGGGTTGAGAGAAAGTGACTGGCCTAAGATGACCAAGCTGGCTTTGTTACTAAAATGGGACTAGAATTCATGATCTCCCAGGTTCTAGTCTGATGCCTTAACCACTGCAGCAGATTGACTCTGCACCTACAGAGATGGACAATGACTGGATTAGGGTCAGAACGACAGTGAAATCTCCCCCAGCATTCTTCCATCTCAAATTCATTAAGAAAAAAGACTGAAAAAAAACCCACTCTAGCTTCTCATCCTTGTCCTCAAAAGCCATAAGGAAAATTTAAATTCAGCTCTCCCTTCTGAGGTCACATAAAACAAGGACTTCCAAATCCAATGTTGTAGGTCAACATGCAATTATTTAGAGATCTTCTGGGTTAATTTGGGCATGATCCTGGCCAGAAAATGACCAACCTGTAGGATTTGTATTATATACTTATTTGTACAACATTCTTAATTTTGCTCCTAAATTAGCAAAGTTACCTACTAATTTAGTAAAGAGGTTCACCCAAACTATTACATTATAAATGAATAAAATTGTTTGCATAACATTGTTTAGCTAATTCATAGACTGTGTACACATACTAAATAACTAATTAGCCAACCCCACTGCACCCACTTTTGAGGTACGTGTGATCAGGGGTAACCAAAAAAATTGGGATAGTTAACACACATTCATTCAACTGTGAGTAAGTATATAGTGAGGACATAGTCTTAGGGTTAGTGCAAATTTAACAAGGGGTAGATTCATGGAAAGTTTAAATAATTTGATTCACAGATTTCACTATTTGATTTGTTTGGCTTGGCAGGTTGTATGAGCACACCAGTTCCATAGGTTTCTTTTTCATTTAATTGCTATTTTTCGTTCCCTAAGTGTGCCAGACATATTTATTTAACTTCCTCCTGGGTAAATGAATGGTAAAACCTATGCTATGTTAATTTTTTTCATGTGTTTGTCATTTATAGGCAGCTGTTTGTCATCTTGGAATATCTTGGGTGTTCAGTGTTCGGAACCTTTATCAAAGTAGTTTGTTATATTTCTTTCCACTGTTACTTGATTTCTCCATCACTTTTCATAACTAATCTTAATAAAGCAACTCAATCAAAACATTGCTGTGTTTTGTTATGTTCGTTGGCACAGGATCAAGAATCTTTCCCCGTCTTTCAGATTCAAGGTATGTACTTTACTCAAGAGAAAACACAAATAAAACAGGTAACAGATTTAACAGATAATCAGAGTTGGAAGGGACTTTGTAGGTCATCTAGTCCAACCTGCCCAACTGGGAGACCCTACACCATTTCTGACAGATGGCAGTCCAATATCTTCTTGAAAGTCTCAAGTGATGGCGCTCCCACAACTTCCGAGGGCAAGCTGTTCCATTGGTTGATGGTTCTCACTGTCAGAAAGTTTCTCCGTATTTCCAGGTTAAATCTCTCCTTGTTTCCATCCATTATTCCTTGTCTGGCCTACAGGTGCTTTCGAAAATAGCTTGACCCCTTCCTCGCTGTGGCAGCCCCTCAAATATTGGAAGACCTCCATCATGTCTCCCCTGGTCCTTCTCTTTACTAGGCTAGCCAAGCCCAGTTCCTGCAACCGTTCTTCATATATTTTAGTCTCCAGTCCCATAATCATCCTGGTTGCTCTTCTCTGTACTTTTTCTACAGTCTCAACATCTTTTTTATAATGTGGTGAACAGAACTGGATGCAGTATTCTAGGTGTGGTCTTACTAAGGCTTTATAGAGTGGTATTAGTACTTCCCTTGATCTTGATTGTGTCCCTCTGTTAATACAATTTAGGATTGCATTAGCTTTTTTGGCTGCTGCTGCACACTGCTGGCTCATATTTAGCTGGTTGTCCACTAAGACTCCAAGATTCCTCTCACAGTTACTGCTATTGAGCCTGGTTTCACCCAGTCTATACTTTTGGTTTTTCTTGCCAAAGTGTAGGACTTTACTTTTCTCTACATTG